ACCTGGGCGGCGGCGCCAAGAAGGTGATCATCTCCGCACCCCCGAAGGATTCTGTGCCCATGTACGTGATGGGCGTGAACCACACCGACTACAAGAGCAGCGACACCGTGGTCTCCAACGCGTCCTGCACCACCAATTGCCTGGCTCCCCTGACCAAGGTCGTGCATGAGAAGTTCGGCATTGTCGAGGGCCTGATGACCACGGTGCATGCCATGACGGCCACGCAGCTCACTGTGGATGGCCCCTCCCGCGGTGGCAAGGACTGGCGCGGAGGCCGCTGCGCTTCCCAAAACATTATTCCGTCCTCGACTGGCGCCGCCAAGGCCGTCGGCAAGGTGATCCCTGCCATGAACGGCAAGCTGACCGGTATGGCCTTCCGCGTGCCCACGCCGGACGTGTCCGTGGTGGACCTTACCTGCCGTTTGGAGAAGCCGGCCAAGTACGACGACATTGTGGCGGCCATCAAGGAAGCGGCTGCCGGGCCCATGAAGGGTGTCCTGGACTGGACTGACGAGGAGGTCGTGTCCACGGATTTCGTCACCTGCAAGGCTTCTTCCATCTTCGATGTGGCGGCTGGCATTGCGCTGAATGACAACTTCGTGAAGCTGGTCAGCTGGTACGACAACGAGTGGGGCTACTCCAACCGATTGGTCGAGTTGTGCATCCACATGAAGAAGGTGGACGGCTGAGAGTTCAACCGGCGGCCATGATGGCCGCAGGTTCATCGATTTTCACCGCGAGAGACGACTGCAAGGCCGTCATGACATTGGGCTGGTCGCTGACAGCTGCGACAGCATGAGGCTACAGGACATCTTGCCCAGCTAGTAAAGCTGATTTTGCGAGACCAATGAGGGCTTTAATCATCCAGTCTTATCGAGTTACACGAAGTTTGAGTAGACTAGAGCTGTGTAGCAGTTGTGTCAGACTTTTGGGCCGTCGTTGGTCCATCACTTAAGCCTCGATAGGTGTGGAAGCAGACAGCTGACCGCACAGAGACAGTGGACACAAAAGGGAGCAAAGGTTGATACACCAGTGATTGGTGTCGCTGTAAGAAGAGGCCCAGAATTTGGTTCCTGATGTTTCCGGAAAGCAGCCATGTTCAACACCATGCAGACGTTAAAATGGATCGGCAAGCAACAACAACACAGGCTTAGTTTCGCAATAGTTCATGCATGTGCCATCCTGATGGGCGTTTTGAGCATTGATACAAGTGCAGGCCCGAATCAGCGCGTCAAAGCTGAGTTGGCAAGCTTGTGCTTTCTGTGGTCGGGTAAAGAGAGATGCACGTGCTTTGGGACTCTTCTGCCTCCGAAGATGCAGCTATGTACTTGTATCATGTCTAGTTGTAGAAGAGTGGCCTAACAGATTGTGGCTACCCCGGTGCTTCACTGTGAACTGAACAATTGATCACCACTGTAATGCAGGTACTTGAATGAAATCACACCGTCCGCAGACATCTAGGCCGAAGGCTCCAGCATTCCGTGTCGCTTCGATCCCCTTTTTGCATTCAAAATGCCAGTCTGCATGGGCATCAACGGCTTTGGCCGCATTGGCCGCCTGGTGTTCCGCGCCGCGGCCGGGAACCCCGACTCCGATGTCAAGGCCATCAACGACCCCTTCATGGATGTGAAGTACATGGTCTATCAGCTCAAGTATGATAGTGTGCACAAGACCTTTGATGGAACCGTGGACTGCAAGGAGGAGGGCGGCAAGGAGTTCCTGGTGGTGAACGGCAAGTCCATCGCGGTCTTCCACGAGAAGGACCCGGCGTCCATCCCTTGGGGCGCGGCAGGTGCCGAGTACGTTTGCGAGTCCACGGGCATCTTCACCAACAAAGAGAAGGCGGAGTTGCACCTGGGCGGCGGCGCCAAGAAGGTGATCATCTCCGCACCCCCGAAGGATTCTGTGCCCATGTACGTGATGGGCGTGAACCACACCGACTACAAGAGCAGCGACACCGTGGTCTCCAACGCGTCCTGCACCACCAATTGCCTGGCTCCCCTGACCAAGGTCGTGCATGAGAAGTTCGGCATTGTCGAGGGCCTGATGACCACGGTGCATGCCATGACGGCCACCCAGCTCACTGTGGATGGCCCCTCCCGCGGTGGCAAGGACTGGCGCGGAGGCCGCTGCGCTTCCCAAAACATTATTCCGTCCTCGACTGGCGCCGCCAAGGCCGTCGGCAAGGTGATCCCTGCCATGAACGGCAAGCTGACCGGTATGGCCTTCCGCGTGCCCACGCCGGACGTGTCCGTGGTGGACCTTACCTGCCGTTTGGAGAAGCCGGCCAAGTACGACGACATTGTGGCGGCCATCAAGGAAGCGGCTGCCGGGCCCATGAAGGGTGTCCTGGACTGGACTGACGAGGAGGTCGTGTCCACGGATTTCGTCACCTGCAAGGCTTCTTCCATCTTCGATGTGGCGGCTGGCATTGCGCTGAATGACAACTTCGTGAAGCTGGTCAGCTGGTACGACAACGAGTGGGGCTACTCCAACCGATTGGTCGAGTTGTGCATCCACATGAAGAAGGTGGACGGCTGAGAGTTCAACCGGCGGCCATGATGGCCGCAGGTTCATCGATTTTCACCGCGAGAGACGACTGCAAGGCCGTCATGACATTGGGCTGGTCGCTGACAGCTGCGACAGCATGAGGCTACAGGACATCTTGCCCAGCTAGTAAAGCTGATTTTGCGAGACCAATGAGGGCTTTAATCATCCAGTCTTATCGAGTTACACGAAGTTTGAGTAGACTAGAGCTGTGTAGCAGTTGTGTCAGACTTTTGGGCCGTCGTTGGTCCATCACTTAAGCCTCGATAGGTGTGGAAGCAGACAGCCGACCGCACAGAGACAGTGGACACAAAAGGGAGCAAAGGTTGATACACCAGTGATTGGTGTCGCTGTAAGAAGAGGCCCAGAATTTGGTTCCTGATGTTTCCGGAAAGCAGCCATGTTCAACACCATGCAGACGTTAAAATGGATCGGCAAGCAACAACAACACAGGCTTAGTTTCGCAATAGTTCATGCATGTGCCATCCTGATGGGCGTTTCGAGCATTGATACAAGTGCAGGCACGAATCAGCGCGTCAAAGCTGAGTTGGCAAGCTTGTGCTTTCTGTGGTCGGGTAAAGAGAGATGCACGTGCTTTGGGACTCTTCTGCCTCCGAAGATGCAGCTATGTACTTGTATCATGTCTAGTTGTAGAAGAGTGGCCTAACAGATTGTGGCTACCCCGGTGCTTCACTGTGAACTGAACAATTGATCACCACTGTAATGCAGGTACTTGAATGAAATCACACCGTCCGCAGACATCTAGGCCGAAGGCTCCAGCATTCCGTGTCGCTTCGATCCCCTTTTTGCATTCAAAATGCCAGTCTGCATGGGCATCAACGGCTTTGGCCGCATTGGCCGCCTGGTGTTCCGCGCAGCGGCCGGGAACCCCGACTCCGATGTCAAGGCCATCAACGACCCCTTCATGGATGTGAAGTACATGGTCTATCAGCTCAAGTATGATAGCGTGCACAAGACCTTTGATGGAACCGTGGACTGCAAGGAGGAGGGCGGCAAGGAGTTCCTGGTGGTGAACGGCAAGTCCATCGCGGTCTTCCACGAGAAGGACCCGGCGTCCATCCCTTGGGGCGCGGCAGGTGCCGAGTACGTTTGCGAGTCCACGGGCATCTTCACCAACAAAGAGAAGGCGGAGTTGCACCTGGGCGGCGGCGCCAAGAAGGTGATCATTTCCGCACCCCCGAAGGATTCTGTGCCCATGTACGTGATGGGCGTGAACCACACCGACTACAAGAGCAGCGACACCGTGGTCTCCAACGCGTCCTGCACCACCAATTGCCTGGCTCCCCTGACCAAGGTCGTGCATGAGAAGTTCGGCATTGTCGAGGGCCTGATGACCACGGTGCATGCCATGACGGCCACCCAGCTCACTGTGGATGGCCCCTCCCGCGGTGGCAAGGACTGGCGCGGAGGCCGCTGCGCTTCCCAAAACATTATTCCGTCCTCGACTGGCGCCGCCAAGGCCGTCGGCAAGGTGATCCCTGCCATGAACGGCAAGCTGACCGGTATGGCCTTCCGCGTGCCCACGCCGGACGTGTCCGTGGTGGACCTTACCTGCCGTTTGGAGAAGCCGGCCAAGTACGACGACATTGTGGCGGCCATCAAGGAAGCGGCTGCCGGGCCCATGAAGGGTGTCCTGGACTGGACTGACGAGGAGGTCGTGTCCACGGATTTCGTCACCTGCAAGGCTTCTTCCATCTTCGATGTGGCGGCTGGCATTGCGCTGAATGACAACTTCGTGAAGCTGGTCAGCTGGTACGACAACGAGTGGGGCTACTCCAACCGATTGGTCGAGTTGTGCATCCACATGAAGAAGGTGGACGGCTGAGAGTTCAACCGGCGGCCATGATGGCCGCAGGTTCATCGATTTTCACCGCGAGAGACGACTGCAAGGCCGTCATGACATTGGGCTGGTCGCTGACAGCTGCGACAGCATGAGGCTACAGGACATCTTGCCCAGCTAGTAAAGCTGATTTTGCGAGACCAATGAGGGCTTTAATCATCAAGTCTTATCGAGTTACACGAAGTTTGAGTAGACTAGAGCTGTGTAGCAGTTGTGTCAGACTTTTGGGCCGTCGTTGGTCCATCACTTAAGCCTCGATAGGTGGGGAAGCGGACAGCAGACGGAAAAGGAGCGGTGGAGGCAGTTCTACTCAGGGGCTAAGGGTGCTTGGCAAGCGTCCCAGAGCGTGAATGGAGGGCTCAAAGGAAGTGTTTTCTTCCAGTTGTGGCCCTCAGCATTGCTGGTTCCCAAGTGAGGAGGCATGTCTGCAGACAAAACAGGAGTATGTGTCAAAAGAAGGGAAGCCCTGTAAAGTGTTGGGTCTCCTTCGGGCTTGCCTTTTAACCCTTGTAACCAACCCCACAAAGGTACCTTCAGAAGATCCACCGGGAAGCAGTGGCGTTTAGGTTTGCGCTCCTTGGAATCGGCGAAGGCGCCAGAGCTGCCACCGCAGCTGGCGCAGGCTGCGGAGGCCAGGGTTGGGCTAAATTGCGGCTTGGCGGGCTTTGACATGCTCCATCTTGGCTCGAACAAGGAGAAGAGAAAGAAAAGGAGCAAGCAGGCAAAGAGGAAGCAGAAATAGCACAAAGCAGGCAGAAGAAGAAGAGGAAGAGGAAGAAGAGGAAGAAGAGAAAGAAGAAGAAGAAGAAGAAGAAGAAGAAGAAGAAGAAGAAGAAGAAGAAGAAGAAGAAGAAGAAGAAGAAGAAGAAGAAGAAGAAGAAGAAGAAGAAGATGATGATGATGATGATGATGATGATGATGATGATGATGATGATGATGATGATGATGATGATGATGATGATGATGATGATGATGATGATGATGATGATGATGATGATGATGATGATGATATGATGATGCAGACAAAAAAGAAGACGTGGCACGCACGTCAGGCGCTTAATCGCCTGGGCTTCGCCTGCCTGCTGCGTTTCACCACCGCGCCTGGGCGCTGGGCAGAGCAGCAATTCGGGCAGCTGCCGCCGGACCGGGCCAGTGCTTCCACTTTGGGACTTGGTTTCTGAAGAGCCAGGCAAAGAGCAAAGGGAGCCTCCCGAAGGGAACCCACCCTCGAAACATCCTTCACCTTTTTGATCTCCCGGAGCACATCAAACAAATCCCACTGCACCCAAGCCCGAACTCAGGGGCCTCCAACAAAGAACAGATCTCCTCACCGCATCTCTTCGGTGTGATATGTCTGCTAGGTCTCTGCTGTCTCCGAACATGCCTGAAAAGTCTGCGCAGCTGATATCTCCTGAAAGGATCCCTGCGCAAGCCCTCTTTGCAAAGCCTTTGAAAGACCACTGTACAAGATCTCTTTTAGAGACATTCTGGGAGATATCTGCGCAGGATCTGTTCCAGTGGCTTTCTCAGAAATCTTTGCAGCAACATGTTTCTGGAAGGCCTCTGCAAAATTAGAGACCTCTACAGAATCGCTTTGAGAGGATCTCATTTTGTTTAAGGGAGTTCCACACAATCTTTGTGCAGGAACCCTTTTCAAAGACCTGCAGATATTTGATTTTTCAATGTTGAAATTTGGCACCCCCAACCTCCACCCAAAATTCGCTGACGTCGAAACATTGTACAGTGCCGCACAGAGAGAGAGAGAGAGAGAGAGAGAGAGAGAGAGAGAGAGAGAGGGAGAGAGAGAGAGAGAGAGAGAGAGGAGAGAGCGGGAGACAACGAGGGAGAGAGAGAGCGAGAGGAAATCAAGCAAGGATTTTGATTGAAGATTCGTGACACGACGCAGCGCGAACTGTTCAACGCATCCAAAGTCCGCAGGTTTGCTTCCAGAGTTGACATTTTGTACCGGCAATCCGGCGCACCGAAAGGAGAACCGCACCGCGATCGTTTTTTTTTTTTTTTGCGATCGGAATTCGCACCGCGATACGATAGCGATTCCCGAAGGACCGGCAGCCACCTCCGCCGTCGCCAAGGGGTCCAAGGCAAGCCCCATGTCTCGAGAAGCTGATTGGCAGTGCCAAGCGTTGGCTCACTTTGCCGCTTTCCCAGATCCTTCAAGTGAGGTGATGGCCCCAGCCCGAACCTTCCGAGAGCCGGCCTTTTACCATCCCTTGTGTTTTTCAAACATCTGGCCCTCAAGAGACCTCAATCGGAAAAATGTTTTGATTTGAGGACCTCAAGGACCACCATCCTTTTTTCTACTTCTTCTTTTCTTGTTTCTTTTCTCATCCTCAAATTTATGCGGCTGTGCGTTGTGTGAACACCCCATGCGCAGGGCAGCGCGGCCTCCATGTCCCCAGGGCACGGCTGTGTCGGTGCTGCCGGCCAGCCTGGCGGTGGCCGATACCGCAGCGCGTCGCTTGTCGGAATGCCGCGGTTTCCTTTGCCAGTTCTTTTCTTGAAGGGACACCAAAGAGAGCTTTGGGGTAGGTTGTATGTTGGTGTGTGCCAAATTTTATTCTCGGTGTGAAATCCGGCACGCACCAATCATATGTACCCAACAATGTGACACTCCTGGCCCTTTGATCGCCAGTCACCTGATAGCGCTTTCGAAAGACTGACTTGCCTGGGGTTGCTAGGCATGGGCGTGCACCCTTTCGTCGGGAGTGTAGACAACCATTTTGAAGAGTCTTATTAATGGAGCTATGCGCATTTCCCTGTCACTTTAACCGGAGACCGGGCATATAGCAAGACGCCGAAGCCAAGGTCATGAAAAGCTGGCCGAAGAGGCTAGGCAACTCGCAGGCCGCTGCGAGATGTTTCCGGAAAGCCAACCGTTTCAGGGGCCCCAAGTGTAGAGACAAGTGGAAATGTCACTTTGGTCTTGTGGGAAGGTCGTTGATTGGATTTGCGTCTGGACCAAAGAGGTTTGCTTCGAAATAGCGCGATTTCCATTTCTCTCCTTAAGCACTCCCCCAAAAGATACCAACTCCACTAAGCCCCAAGCAGGACATGTCTCCATTGGGGATCCAAGGGTATCACCAAGAAACGGCGCAAAGAGAGGTCGGAGTCACCCAGCGCGAGTGCGAGGCAAGGGCGATGCGCGGCTGCGAGAGCAGCTGCTGCAGTGGGCAGATGGACAAGATGCTGAGGTCTGGCTGGGTGTGCGACTCGCTGTGCGGCTTGTTCGAAACAGATATTAGTGTTCCGCTCTTGTTCCGCTCTTAATAACTTGATTGTTGCAAAATGAATGTCTTTCTCAACGGAAACAAACCGACAACTTGAGCTACATTCTCAAGGCAAGAAACTGAGCAACACGGCTTGGCCTGCGTCACGATGCCCGGATATATTGGGACTAAACTGACTTCACTTGCTTGGCAATCATTTGCATCAGGCCTGGGCTGCGGAAGACGATGAGCTCAATAAGGCATCAGGGTGGATGCTTTGTGGATGCTTCCCGTGTCTCAGTGAACACCTGAAGACTGGACTAGGCCCTGTTTCACCATTTGGCACCATTTGCCGTGGTTTTCTGCAGGCCAGGGAGAAGCGAAAGCCTGCAGCGCCTCCCGTGAGGACCTCATATTTCTCGTAGAAAAGAGAAAGCAACGGCTGAGGTCTGTTACGGGGTCCAAGTGAATTTCCTCTTGGGGTGATGCTTTCTGGGCGGATTCATAGCCAGCGCCCTGCCAGCAACCCCCTTAGTACTTACAGGTTAATCGCTCGTGATCCTTGTGCTTTTTGTCATTTCCGTTTTGTTTGTAATGGCATTGTTTGACAGACTTGACTTTAGCCGTCTCTTGGCATTGCGCCTTGCTTGCAAGCAGCGATTAGACGCAAAGCGAGACGCTCTTTTGGAATGCTTGAACCAGTTGAAATATGCAAAAAATCGAATCAATATCGTCTGCAAGAACTGACTCCGCACGATAGACGAAAGTTACTGTTCCCTTCTTACTCTAGGCGGCCGGAGATAGCATTGAGTGCCTGGTTTGCCCTCACTCCATGCTGAGACGAGAGCCACCCAGAGTGCCTGGTGTGCTTGAGCCAGTGTTCTGCACTTGCTTGCAAGGCCCAAAGGGAAACAACGTACGCCGTCCGCAAGGAGGATTTGTACAAGGACATCAAGGTGGGAGGGGAGCGCGTGAGACTTTTTGTTTTGGCTTTGGTCTCCAGCCTTGAAGCCAATTCATTGAGCTCACGGAGCCATTCAGGTTTTGCATGCGCCGTCCGTTGGTTGGCCACGAGGGCCAACCAATGGGTGGGCGTCGGTGCAAGCTCGTCCTGCCCCCTGGCTTGGTCAGGAAGGGTCTGAAGCAGGTCTTTGGCTGACATTTCATTTCGCAGCTGGGCAGCATGATTTTTCTGGAATCAAGGGTCCTGGGCTCGTCCAAAAAGGGAACTGCATCATGTTCTCGTAGGCAATCTAGGTGGGGGTCGTGTGGGCATTTCACGTGCATCACTGTTATTGTCCTTGCGTAGGCGCCCACATAGGCAAGCCTGGGATGGTACATGTATATTTTGAAGCTTCATGTTTCGCAGTGATTGGGTTCACACGATGGAGGCTACATGGTAGCTATGAGATTTGCATCCCTGCGTGTTAGCCGGAAAGTCAGGCCTAGATTTTTCAAAACAGAACTGCCTCCGCGTAGGCTCTGCATAGGCTCCGCGTAAGCTCCTGCCGCTGGCTAGAGGCCCATTTCGCGAAGCCCTGGGCCACTGGCGCTGTGAAGCTTCCCGTAGTCTGCAGCATTTCTGATGAAAGGTTGCGATTTTGGAGCTGAAGCTATCAAGCTCGAAGTAGCAAAAGCGGCGGGTAAGCGGCCTGAGTAGGCATCCGCATCCGTGTAGGCAAGGCAGACGCAAGTACTCGTGCGTAGGCGCCCTTTGCAGTCGCGGAGGCTTTACGCAGCTTCTCGGTGCCTTTGCTGTTCTGGAAGCACTGGTGGAGTCAATATACAAAGGGGGGTTGCACGGTATGATTCAAGAGAGGGAGGCAGAACCGACTGGCTGAGGGAGTTTCAGCTGCGGCTGCGCGGCCTTATGCGTACGCGGCCGGCACCTTAGAGTGAAGCGGCTAAGTCGGAGACTGGGAGGTTTGGTTAACATATGTGGCAGTCTATGATCCACAATGGGGGACAAGGGGGACTGAATTTCACTCAAACTCATACCATGTGTCCTCCACAGTAAGCGCTATGTGCGCAAACGCGTATGCGTACAAACGCGCAAACACGCAATTGCGAAACCACCCACTTTTCTTTTGCCAAAGACTCGAGCTTGGGGCCTTGACAACCGGTGCCTGGGCTGAACAAAAGAGGCAGTGTGCAGGTAAACCACCGCGATTTTTGCATGTTGAAGAAGGTTGGCTTTGCCAGATGATGGAGTTTGGTTTCTGATGCATTTTCAGAAGTTTTCGACGTCAGGTTTCACCCGCAAGAGGCAGACGAGCAGGGAGATGGGGGCGTTTCTTGAACCTCGGCGCAACCGCAAAAGCGCCACGCTGTCCTTGTGGGGTCCACCTTGAAGCAGCCGCGCGCCTGTAGGCAGATGAAACCTAAGTTGCACGTTGCAAGGTGCGCAAAGTCTTAGAGGTGTCGAGCGTGGCCTCAGCCACACCGGGACCATCCAGGCAGATGCGTCCGCCGCATCCGACTGCTGCACAACCTGTCTGTAGGAGGCGCAAAGTACGGAGTCTGTGCGCAAAGCTGCGAATCCATGCCGCTGCCAGTGGGGCGAAAAATCCGCCAGTATAGGCCGGGAAGACCAGTGGGAGGCGAGGAGCAAAAAACAGCCCGCCGCCAAAGGCTCAGGGTGCCTGTCCTTCAGCAGACTCGATCCGCACAGAGGCATCCATGTTGATTGGTTTAGTGGGAGAAACATATTTTTCCGGATGCCGGCCGTGAAGACCACAATGCTCAGCGCACCTGAAAAGGCCAAGTCATGTAATCTCATTCAAGCATGGCTTGGTTTCATGACAAACCAATGTCAAACAACGGCCTTAGCCGTAAATCTGCTTTTCACCAGTCACGCTGTCTTCGCAAGACAGAACAGCGTGTTTCAGTGGAAATAAAGAAGGCAGGGTAATTCCGACCGAGGCAAGCCCGCCGCCCAGGACGGCGTGTTTGTTGGAGACAGAGTGCTGTAAACCACTCAAGAAGTAAACTCAGCGAAACATGTGTTTGTCCAATCAAGCTGTTCAAGTCGACTCTGGGGGTTGCATGTCACACCAGCGAGGACGATGCCGCAGTACTCGTACTTGGTGCGCTGATGAAGCTTTGAGGCGACAAGGCGCTTTGATCAAAAAAGCCTCCCTGCAAAGCAGGGAAAGGCCACAGAATCACTGGTGCCTTCTCCCTTACGATGGTTAAAGGTTAGATAGCTTGAACGAAAACAATTTGGAATTGGAAACGAGAGGGAGGTCAGCATTTCTTCATTCCATATTATGAAGTGCTTGACATGCCCACAAGTGGCCGAGATGCTGTCGAAGTCAAACCAGGGGGAACGGCCAAGACAGTAGGTTCAACCTGGACTTGCAGGGGTCCTGCGCAGGAACGGCTTGACAGCCATTGGGCAATGCCTCACAGAATGCATGATTGGATGTGCTGCAAGCTGGTGGCAACCAACCGGGCACTGCATGCACCGTCGCCATTGACACGAGCAGACCGGGGTACAAGTTGTAGGCTTGACAACTAGATGAGTGGGGTTTTCCAAGCTCATGAGAATCCAGCTCCTTTGCGGACGGTGCTGGTCACTCTGAAGACTTAGTGGACATAATATGATAGTAGCCTTCGACTTGAGACATGAGTTAGTCGTCTAGCGCGCGGATGAATGCAGCCCTCTGAGTTCGCGCCTCATGACAAGAAAGTGGGGTTGCACGGTTGCACTATCGGATGCGATTTTGTCCGTGGGTGTTCTTGACAAAGGTAAGCGAAGCATTCGTTGCGTCTGCTCACAAATCCCATTGCTTAAATGACTTTGGGAGCGGGTAAGGCTGGCGCGAGGGAACAACGTTTGACCGAACTCGGAGGGTTCAGCTTTGGCCGAGGGCAACTGCAGAAGGCTGGAAGGGCGGGTCAGTTTTGTTACGGCAGCAGGCGATTCTAGAGCCCTTGTGACCCTGTGGTGCTGTCACCAGCACGGTTTCGTGTAGTTGCAGAAAACATGTCTTTCGGGGGACAAACTGGCAGCTGGCAGCTGGCTTCTCATGCAGGCGAAAGCGAGAATGGCAAGGCCAAGGCAGAGGCCCGCCCGAGCTGTGGGCAATGTGCGCTCAGCCGATGGGTCCGTGTTTGGTTGTAGAGGGGGAGCCAAAGCCCAAGTTTGTGTTCACAGTCAACCCCTGCGTTTCATTTCAAAGATCCACGTAGTGTCGAGTACACAGAGGTGGTTCTACGCCTGTAAGTGGCTGCCTTATCGCAGGTGTCCTCCGAGTCGAGCTCAAGCGGAACAGAGGCGAGAGCCCCAAAATCCAATTGCCTCTGTTTATGTGAAACCCGCAGTCCACCTTAAATCTTTCCAGTTGCTTTGCCACCTCTTTTTATTTTCCCGTGTGAATCCAGTATTTGAATCCTAGGATTCCGCGAGCTCCAAGGAGGCTGTCGGGCGAGCAAATGTTTTGTTTTGCTTCTCTGTGGGCAACTTGAAGCTAGTCCCCCAATTTGCAAGGGAGGCACTCCAATGTGTACAGGTCGATTCCTTGATTGCTGTGGTGGGTGGGGTTTTTGTTGACGGCGCCCGGTTACAACACTTCAGTTCATGGCATGTAGTTCCACAAGTTTTAGCGCTGCATCTGGTGGTGCAAGTGGCAGGAAGCGTCCGAAGCCAGAATCATCAAGTCCGTGAGGACGCTGACACACAAGGTCAAGCTGGCACACAACCTTTCGATGCGAGGATACAAGAAGCTGAGAGCGAAGATGCAGCCGAAGATGCCGAAAGCGCCAAAGACGCAACGGGAGATTCCGAGGGCGCCAAAGATGCGGCTAGAGACGCGGTGAGTGCCAAAGACATGACTGGAGCTGTCGAAAGTGCCAAGGACCTCGCTTTAGGCTCCTGTCTTTTCCAGATGCTTTGACTCAACTGGGGCACTTTGGGCATGCTGGAACTGTGAGTGAGGACGTCAATGGCCCTGAGCAGGCCAGAATGGGCAGCCTCGACTTGAGAGCTTGCAAGGTTTGCATACATGGTGACTGAGTTATTTTTTGCCAGCAGGCTCACCCCAGAACATGTGGTGATGCCTTAAGTTTTGCTTGGTTTGAAAAAGGAGACAAGGGAAATCCACGACTTGAGCGATTTTGCATGGGCCTCCACGACAATGGAGACGTGCCTCAGGCGCGGTTGGCGGGTGCTTCCCCGAAGGCGATGGGATGGGCCGAGGACTTTTTCAAGCTTCCGAGTGGAAGCCCTGGGGCAGGCAGCAGTCAGGCGTTTTCGGCCTGCTCTGAAGGTCTTGTTTTTGCGCACATTCTTTATTTTCTGTGCGTTTGTCTGGGTGTTGCTGCATTTGCTAGTGTCGTTGCTGCAGAGAGGCGTCTCCGAGTTCTCCCAAGGCGCAAGGGGGTGACCTGTGGGTTGCGGAGGTCTGTCCAGCAGGTAGGGAGAAGGCTCCGTTGGAATGCAACACATGAGTCGGAGTTTCTGGGATTCTGGCCAAAAGGCAAATGACGTGAAAAACGCTCACAGCTAGCTTTCCTTTTTTCTTTTCCCCTTGAAGGCCAAGACAAGCCCTGCTTCGAAGGCTGGACTCTTTTCGTTACATGCAGGACGTGTGCAGATGGCTCGGGAAAGCATTGAGTGCGCGAGCAGACCGCTTATGAAGATTTATTGCTTGCGTGGAATTTCAAGGCTCTTGTTGCTTTGTGTTTTTGGCTTTCAAGGCTTGCTTCACAACAGGGGATGCTCATTGAAGAACCCGCGTCCCCCCCCCTGTGTTGCTTTTGCTTCGCATGTTGACCCTGTAACATCCATTACCATTTTGGCTCAAGGCCCCTCTTGTATAACAGGTAACGCAGTACTCATTCTGCAGCCATTACAAAAGGAGAGCAGCAGAGCGCCCTACAGGAATAATCCACAGAATGCAGGACCAGGGACATCCATTCTCGGTTCCTCCACTATTGGCATATTGGACTCTCTTGCAGAATAGATCCAGGGACCGCATATATTCTCTACCACCACAAGGCACCTGTTCCCTTCTGGGATACGGAGCCCCCAGCAGTGGGTCTCAATTGTGGTAGCGGAGCGGGTTTTCCGCAGAGATTCAAGTGTTGGCCGATCATCCGGCTACACTGAAGAGACGCTCAATTTCTCGATGACCGCCAAGCAGCCGCCATCGCACGACGGAAAAGTCAGCTGGTTTGGATACGAAGAACTTGTAGATGATTGGGTGACCTTCACCACCATCGAGGCACCCAAAAGAGGACCCCTCCTCAAGAGCCGTCTCATTGGAGTCCTCCAGAATGACCTCTTGCAAGATCCTGACGAAGGAGTCAACTATTTCAAGAACACGCTGAAGAAGTTCTTCCTGAAAGGGTCGACCAACGTGTACTTATACAGACTTCTCAGTTTCTTCAATCACAGAAGGCAGAACACCGAGTTCCTCAGATTCACATCCAAATTTGAAATCCTCTTAATGAGATTGAAGGCAGCCTGGATGGACTTGATGCCCACGCGTACGGCACAGTCACCAGAGTTCCTAGCATCAGTACAAGATGCCAACGCAAGAAGAATTGCCGCGCGCCAGCAAGCAGCTGTACACGAGCACCGCCTCCAGATCTGCTACAAGTCGACAATCCAGAAGTACTCAGGCAGTATCAGATCAGCAGAAGAAAATAAAACAAATTGCAATGTCATTGAGAAACATCTCGCTTGAGAATTACACCTACGAGATGATGAAAACGCAGTACCACAACCTCTTCATCACGACCAGAACATCCATCCAAGATCCATCCATCCGACCTCCCGGAGGAAATCGGAGTGACACCTTCTACATCCTGGAACAAGGAGAATACAAAGGTGAAGAAGGCTTCTGGGTGGAGGACAAAGAAGGACTGGAAGGTTTCATGTCAACCAACGATGAAGAGACATTTTGGGTATTGGAGGAGAATGATGCGTTCATTGCAAGAAAGGTGTCTGGGCGGAATTTCAATTTCAAGAAGAGAAAAGGAAAAGGAAAATCAACAAGCAAAAAGGGCAGTCACTAACGAGGTGGCTTCAAACCCTTTCGAAAGGTAGCTCTGGCGGGAAGGCCAATATGGCCAATGAATATCAGGATCCCTACGACCAGGCATATTGGGGAAAAGGCAAAGGAAAGAAGGGAAAGAAAGGAAAATCGAAATTCCAATATCCCTATGATGGAAACAAAGGTTATCCATCCTATGACAATGGCAAAGGAAAAGGCGGACAAGAAAAAGGACAATCCAAAACGTTCGCAGCCATTGCAGAGAAGACGGAGGAGCAGCCCGCCATCCAGCAGACTGCACCATCCACAGAGCCTACCTATGCCGGATCCATCATGGAATTGGAGTGAACAAGGCTGGTACTCATCGGATGAGACATCCAGCACAGGACAAGCGATGATGGCATTCCATGACGCATATGAGCAGCATGAGAACGACGCCATCCACGAGAAGCTGATCCAATCTAATACAGTTTCAGAGCAATAGTTACAGCAAAGCTGATGGCGCCTGTCATCAACCCACAGCACAATCCGACCTATGCGATCCTGGACAATGGATGTACCAGATCCATGGGCAGCTGGCATGCAATCCAGCATTTTACCCAGGCCATCAAAGCCATGAAAGACCTCATCCCCTATCAGTACATCCCGGCAGAGACCAAGTTCACTTTTGCAAATGGAGAAACAGCCAAGGTAAGCTGGACCTTGCGCCTCAGGTATCATACGACACCTTCATGCAGCACCAACATCGACATCCTTGAACAAGGCGCTGTACCGATCCTCCTAAGCGTCAGTCAGATGCGGAACCTGTACATGACCATCGAGCACACACCTCAATGTGACAAGATCACATGTAAGGCTTTTGGCATGGACCGTCAAGCAGTTCCAGTATCCGGTCCGGCGCAGGACATGCGCTCGTCGATCTTGCTGGAGTAGCAAGAGTGAAATCCCACGGAGAGATCGCCATCAAGGGCCTCACCAACTACGTTTACGATGATGACAACAGCGTCCATTTCCCCTCAGGGAGTGAACAAGTCTGTGCATCCAAAGAATTCGAGGCGAAGGAAGAGATAGCGACTCCAAAAACATTGGTACTCTCAAGCAGGTTCACTCGATGTCCGACAAGAAGAACAATCAGCTCACTTGTGTGCACATTACGCCTCGCAAAGCGTTGTTCACACCAACAGGAGCGAAAGAGTGTGCAGCTAATCCTGACAACATCAGCCGAGAGCGTACAACGGAAATCATTGATGCATCCAAAGGTGGAGATCCAGAAATCCTTGAAGACAATTGGAGACTTACATCCCAGGCGAACAAACCAATGATCAACCTGTGGAAGGGTAAGACCATTTCCACCTTCGGGGATAATTCGCTGAAGGACAAAGAATCCGGTTCAGGATTGGCGGCAGACAGAATCATCCACAAGAAGGGCCAGTCGACTATTGAGCCAGATCCTGCAACGCCGTCAGGGAAGAACCCACGTCACTTCCGCTTGCCTTAGGCAGAATTCATCAGCGATTGTCCAAAGCAGAAGAGCCGAAAAAGCTCCACCTGCAGCATCATCATATGACTACAGACCAATTTCAATTCAGGACTCGTGCGCTTCACTTGCCAAAATCAATCTACGATCTATTTGACAAAATCCGAAGTGAGTGTGAAGTTTGCCAAGCGGGAAAACATGCACCATCACGAAGCAAGACGAGTGGACTTCGCGCGGACACATTCGGAGACATGACATTCATTGATCACTGTCAAGTTCCTGATGGAATTGGAGAACATATCACTGTTTTTGTCGTCCTGGCACCGCTGAGGCAGTGACAATTATGCAGGAAGTCAAGAACATCCCTGTCCTCAGGAACTACTTTGACCAGTACCACCTGCAGCCAACATCAGTTGTCGGCGATCAGGCCTTCATGACGGAGACATGGGAACATGTCTATCAACCCCTCGACATTACACCAATATTGCTGGGACCAAATACACCATGGCCGAATCGAGCTGAATCAGCAGTTCGGTTATTGAAGGCTCAGCTGAAGATCATGCTCCATTCGATTAAGTCGGGCAATCCACCGGCGACATTGAAGAAAGTGAAGTACCGACAACTTGTGAGGGCAGCAGCAACTGTCAGAAATCAAACTGTCACCTACGGGGGTGTAACACCTCTGGAGCTCGCATTCGGACGAAGACCTGCCAGATCTCAACCAACTTGATGTCGCAACACCAACTCAATTGACGATCGACAGGAATGAGGAAGAGCTTACAGCAATCCAAATCAAGCAGCTATCCAAGCAGGCGTTCCAAGAGGCTCGTCAATCCGAGGACATCCGAAGAGACCTTGCTCAGAACTTCAGGATGGGCTCCAAACCTCTTCATTTGAAGGACAAGGTGTTTTACTGGCAGGAAGACAAATCCAAGATTTGTTCCGACGGTAAGGGAGGAATATGGCTGAAAGGAAAAGTCATTTCCTTGGAAGGAGCAATGGTTGGACTTGATCTCGGAACAAGCCTCATCAAGGTCAACATGACGAAAGTCAGAAAGGATGAAACCATCCCTCCGGGGAAACTTGGAATTGGTTTCTTATTGCCTGATGAGAAAGAATCCTTGCAGGAAGAACAAGGAGGCTCTTCAACCGATTCCAAGAAGAAGGGATCGTCCATTCCAACTCCGAAGCCAGCATCCTCACGACCGTTACGCATTGCTGGAAAATCAAGCCCCCAGCCTGCTGCATCAAGAAAGCGCATTGGAGTGTGTACGTAAAGGAAAGATCCACGTTCTCGAGATCTTTGCAGGGGGTGCCAGATTCAGTCAATGCTGTGCACTCACTGGTATGAAGGTCGGGGCACCGGTTGACATTCGCAACGGATTTGACGTAATGACATCCAAGGGACGACACATGGTGATGGAGATCATCAAGGAGCAAGCGCCTGATCTCATCCTCATGGCACCAGTCTGTGACCCTGGTCGAACATGCAGAACATCCAACAAGTCTGGGAAAAGCAAAAGCGCTACGTCCCGATGGTTGAGTTTGTGGCATCCATCGCGCAATTTCAGCTGAAGCACAGAAGATATTTCATCGTCGAAAATCCTCAAACATCCAGGATCCGGTATCTGCAGCGCGTGCAACAAGTTTTTTCAGATCCATCCGTAACTTGGGGAGATTTCATTTCTGTGCATACGGACTGAAGGATCCTGAATCCGGACTCAGAAGTCTCAAGCCAACAAGCTTGATTCACTGCTTACCTTCCGAGGTCATGAGACCGATTTTCAGAAGGTGCAAAAATTTTACCAGTTCAGTAAAACATGAGCATCAGCCCCTTGAGGGAAATGCCGGCATTTTCGGAAGCAGAACCAAATTGACACAGGTATATCCTTACCAGTTCTGCCAGGATCTCGCGCGCATCATCTTGCGTCACCTTAAGGTGAAACCGCTTGACAATGAAGTGTACCTCCTCGAGGACATTTTCGAGCCATTCACCGACAAGCAGGTTGACGTTCTTCGAAAGGAGATGGCTGCCATCGACAAGGAGTTTAACATGACTAGCAGCAGCACCGCTGTTAGAATC